GTGCTCCTTCTGTGGGTGGGTGGGTTGTGGGGGGCGGTGGCTGGAAGGAAGGGAAGGAAGGGCTGCTCTGGCTTGGATTAGCGACTCCCTAGCCTCGGGTAGGGCCTGCCGGTTGCTCCTCCAGATGTTGCCCATTTCTGGAGACAGGCCTGACATACCAAGCCCTGGGAAGGGTGGGAAGAGTGGGGGTTTTGGGGTGCTGTCCATGGGCCTGCCCCATGCCACCATGGATTTCGGTTGGGAGCCAGGCTCTGGGCAGGGTCCTGATGTGGGGGAGGGGGGAAAGCGAAGGGGTCCTCTCTGCCTATCTCTGGGGAAATGGGCCCCAGAGCTTGGGAGAACCAGCTTGAGTATGGTGCCCGCAGACAACAGCCCAGGGCTGAGGCTCTGTCTGGACAGAGGCAGATGTAAACATCTGGCAGCCAGCCGGCAGGGCAGCACCCCCCACCCCACCCCACCCCTACCCTCCTGGTTGGTCAGTGGTTGGTGGGGCTGAGGAGCACAGGCACCCGCTGGGCTAGAATAGGGGAATGGAGAGGGGTGGGGTGGGGTGGGGTGGGCAGTAGAGGCACATTAACCAGAAGCTGCTGAGGCAGTGCCCACAGTCCCTGGCTCACTCTGACCCTCGCGGCGTACCTCCCTCCCCTACCGTGGCCGTTCCTCCTGGGTGTGGGCAGCAGTACCTTGTCAGCAGTGGGGACCACAGGCGGGGTGTGGATGCTGGGGGGTGACTCAGGCCGCTTCTTGTGCTTCTGTTTAAGGCGTTCTTTGTCCTTTCGACTCTGGGGAGGGAGAAGTGACCAGATACAGGTTGTGGGGGACAGTCTGGGGGAGGATAAACATGACATGTGCATGAGGAGAGGGGTCGCCTCTCAGGGATGGGCTTTGTGGGCATCATCTCCCCCTGTGGAGGGACTGGGGGACTTGGGCTGGAGGAGATCGGCTCAGGCAGGTCACTCTGAGAGCCAACAGCCCCTCCCCCTCATCCCCACTGCTTGCTAAAAATAGCCTGTCCCATTATCACGCCAGGGACACAGAGCACCACACACATGAGCGTGTACCTGTGAGGCTGTCCACCTGGGGCGTGGAGCCGTGCAGAGGGTTGGGGACCGGGTGCACCGTGATGTATGGCGCGAGGGGACATACAAAACTGGGCTGACACGGCTAGACTGTGGAGGTGTCTGCAAACGTGCAGGGCCATGTGTTGAGGGCTTGGGAGACACTGTCACGTCACGGGGAGGACATGGAGATACGGAGAGCCCCAGAGAAGCCACGCCCTCATCTTACCCTCCATGCCCCTCCTGTGTCACTTTCTCAGCCTCCTGCTGGCCCTCAGTGGCCCCAGAGGAAGGAAGGGGGCACAGGGGCACCTTGTGGTAGCTTCTTAAAAAAGTTATGTGTTTGCAAGTGTGGGCAGGAGGGGGAGAGGAAGAAGACATTTATTTACCTTCTTCTGGCCCCTTTCATGGTGGGAAGGGTGCTTCTCCTGCTGGGTGGACGGAGAGGCTGACCGGCTTCTCCGGCCAGCAATAAAGCCGCTGCCACCTGCCCCTGTACCACCGCCTCCTGCTCCTCCGCCGCCCCCGCTGGCATGCCGGGATGTCTTCTGGGGAAAGAATAGAGACGAAATGCCAAACCCTCCTTTCGATAGCTTAGGAGAAGATTCCTGAAAGTCAAATGATCCCGGGGGCCAGTTCTTCCCACCCGCCTTGTCACTAAAAGGACCTTGTATCTTCAGTGATGCTCTGCTCAGCAAAAGGCATTCTCTAGCCTTAAATGCCAGCACTTCCCAAGCTGGCTTATCCAATGCAGATTCAGCAGCCAAGGCCCAGAAGAGCTAGAGGCGTCTTGGCCCCAGCAAGGTACCACTGGAGGTAGGACGAGGACCTGGGGCTCTTATTTTCCACCCTCCTCTTTCCAGGGTGCCTCTCGACCCATCTCAGGCAGCCTGAGTCATGGCCCAGGTCTGCCTCTTTCTCTGGGGTAGAGGACAGAGGGGGGCCCTCATGGGGAGTCCCTGCTCCCCTGAACCCCATACCCCTCCTCCCCACCAGCCCAGACACTTCCCTCCAGCCATCAGCTCTTTCTCTCTTGATCCTGGCCCTCCCCCTCCACCAAACACAGTGGTTCCTTCCATCCCAAAGGACCTGATGCCCCTAAGAAGGGGGAAGTAAACATATGCAACAGCAAAAACCCAGATACATGATCCTCGTGCTGCCTCTCCCCCCAGCCAGGGCCTGCCGCCTCCTTCCCTTCACTGCTGATGACTGCCCCCTGCCTGACAGCTTCACCTGTGCCAGACTTGCAGGTGTTTCCTCTAAGGTCACCCACTACCTCCCAACTGCCAAATCCAAGGACTGATTGCAGGCTCCGTCCCACCCGGTTGCTCCCCCGTGGTGGGTACTGCGCCTACCTCGCCAAGCACTAGACTCTCCCCTTCACGGACTCCATCACACCTTGCCCCACCACGTCCTGCTGGGCACTTGAGGATTCCAGCCCAGCCTTCTATACTTGGGCCTGCCACCACTACCCTTCCTGGGGGACAGACAGCCACCAACACCGAACATCCCCATTTGGCACCTCCTATTAGCCACACTGAGCTCCCTACCTTGTCCTAAGTCATCATCGAACCCTGAAACCAAGGTGACTGTATGATTTATGATCCAAACCAGGATACTTTTGAAAACAAAAGGGGGAACTATTAATAATTACACCGGGGTGATGGGCATGAAATGGAACTATCGAGGCCAGAACAGGACATGCCAACCCTACAGAAGGCCACTGCACCCCCTGTTCATAGCATTCCCAGGTGTCCAAGCACTGAGAGCCAGGATCCTACATAGTACCCTGAAATCCTCCTTCTCAGCCATCCCCACATGTGAGCCTGTCTACCTAGAAATCATTCTAGAGTCCAGCCTCACCCCTCCAGCCCTGCCCCCCCCCCCTTCTCACAGCTGTCTCCCAGCCGCCAGCCTCAGCCCTTCGGATCCAGCTTCACAGTGGCTTGCCAGGGCAATCTTCCTAAAAAACAAACCTGATCATGTTACCCTCCTGCTTACGAGCCTGTGGCCTGGGGGTGAGGTCCAAGCTGCATTCCCAGTCCGGCTGCAGCCTCCCTTGCCAGGATACCCCCTAGTTTCTGGAACATACAGGTCTCTCCACAAACATGGAATAGAACCCCTCCTCCAGCCTCTCCTTGGGCTCCTGAAGCCTAGGGCAGAAGCAAGCCCCGCTCCGGCCCTGCCTGAGCGTCCAGTCATCTCCTGCCTCATCCTCACCAAGCACCGTGTTCTGTTCACAAGTTCTCTTTTCCATCTCAGGACTTTGCCTATGCCAGTCCCTCCCCCTAGGACTCATTTCTTTCTGTCTTTGCTTGGCAGGTCCCCAAGGAGCTTGCAAGTCAAACTGTGTGTTCTGATTCCCACACACTAGCTGTGGGATGTTGCACAACCTAAGTGTGGGTCTTAGTTTACTCATCCGTAAATTGGAACGATACGGTACACCTAGTTCTTCGGGTTGTGGGGAGGACCACGTAAAATGACACACGGAGAGAGCTGAGACAGAGGCTGGGGCACAGTAACCCCCTTGGATGTCGGCTCTTACTGCTTCCACCTCCACTCAGCTCAAATGCTGCCTCTTCCTTAAAACCTCCCAGGCTCTGACAGGCAGAGTCTGAGCCTTGTCTTCTGGAACGGACTGCCTGGTTCAGCCCTCTTTCGCCCACCTCGGGCTGGGCTTCAATCTGTTCCTTATCCAGTGGCATGCTCCTCGGGGCAGACACTGGGTTCCTTCCACCTTTGTCCTACCAGTGCCAGGCACCAGCCTGGCCCAGAGCCCACACCCTCTAAAGCTGACTTAGAGGGTATGGCTGACTGACCCACTGGTGCCCTGGCCGAGGAGACTCACCATTTTGCTGAAGTGGTATTTGCAGTAGCCGCAGTACTTGACGTTGTCTACCTCCAGCACTTCCTCCTCGCACAGCAGGCCTGCCATTTGGGCACTAACCGGAAAAAGGTCAGCCTGAGAAGGGTGTGGCCACAGACCAGACCAGCCGCCTTCTCCCCACCCTCCGGGACCACCGCTAGGGTGAGGCCCAGACCATCTGGCGAAATCACCGCCATCACCACCAAAGAGACAGTTGTCCATGGCAAACCTCGGAGTGGGTCGGTGCGGCCGGCCAGGGATCCCGGAGAACCCTGGAGGGGGTGCGGGACGGGCAGGGGTCTCACCAGGTGACGTGGAAAGCTTGCCGACATCCGTGGCGGTTACAGGTCATACAGGCTCCTGAGGCTGCCTTGCTCTCCCGGCCCTGCTCCTCGCAGATGTAGCAGGTCTGCAGGACACAGTGCAATTGTCCCCTCCTCCCTTCTACCTGAGGGATCCCTTGGTCTTCTCCTCCACTCTATTCTCTCCCCCGTGATCCTAGGTCGGTGCCATCCAGTGGGAGATTTTGCGATGATGGAAATTTTCCCTACCTTGCTGTCCAATACAGTAGCCACGAACCACACAGACTACTGAACAACTGACAGGTGGCTCGTGTGACTGAGGAGTTGAATTTTAAATTGTGTTTAATTTCAATTAGTTTACATCACCACGTGTAGCCGGTGGAGACTAGATTGGATGGCACCGTCCTTGGGCGGGGAGCCCTGTAAGGCCGGGGACTATGTCTGCCTTGCTCACAGGGAGCTTATGCCCACCTCTGGGACTCTGCACATTGTTCCTTCTGCCTGGACCTGGAACCCCATCCTCCTCAAGGCTGGCCTCAGCCTAAATGTCGCTTTCCCTGACCGATTTATCTGATGTAAGTGCCGATGATTTATCTGATGTAAGTGCCCCCTCCCCCACCCCACAAGGTATTTATTTCAGTACCTTGTTTGTTTTCTTCACAGCACTTACCACAAACTGCGTTTTTTTTTTTTATTTGCCTGTTTATTGATATTTACAGCCTTCCCACACAGAAGTGTGGGTTCCATGGGGCAGGGACCACATCTGTTTTGAGTACCTCAGCCCAGGTTCGGCACATAGTAGGCACTGAGTAAAACGTGTCCAGCCAATGAGCAAGTGAACTGCTTGCTAAGGTCCACCCACTGGACCGTGCAGTATTACCGCAAGGGAGGCTACTGCTTCACTTTGAGCCCCAGAGCATAAGCACGTGCCAGTCAGTGGCAGGTGCCTACCCACCTCCTGAGTCCCCCCTTCGGCTGGACAGAATCAAAGGACACTGGATGGAGAGAGAGAAATGGAGGGACCCAAGGACGCGTGGGTCAAGCGCTGATGGGGTTACAGGCGCGGGCAGCATCGGGCGGCTGACCTTTGTTGCCGACATCGTGGAGGGCACGCCCAATGCATGGGCTCCATGGTGAGCACGTTGGCAAACTGCACCTCCGGGATGTAGAGGGCACATACCACGTGGGCCCAGCCTGGGGTGGCGGGGGGCTGGCCTCAGCTGCCATGGCAAGCCCCTGCACCCCGGCCCCTCACAACCCCACACTGCGGACAGTCCCCTCCTCCACAGCCTTCCCATCAGACTCCAACCTCCATCCCCACCCTGCCCCCCTCCCCCCTGCAGTCCACTCCTGACTTCCCAGACCCTGCTCAGGGGGCCTTGCTGACCTCAACCGATGAACCTAGCTCAGGGACCCCTCACCTCCATTATCAGTCCTCTTCACGCCCCGCCTTGTGTGGGCACAGCTCACACAGCCCCCTCTCTGCCAGGCAGGCAAGGGGCACAGGATTTGAGGGGGGTTCCAAAAGAGTGGGGATCTGCTGAGCTGGGCCCCTTTCCTCAACACTCAGAGGGCCCCATAGGACGAAATAAGTTGCCCATGGGATGTGTAGGGATTCGGAAGAAATGCGGGGTTGCCCATGGAGTGGTAACTGTCGAGATGAGTGATGGGACAGAGGTTGTAGTATTCTCCACTTTTGCACATGTCTTCCATAATAAAAGTTCAAACAAACTAACAAAATAAAAAAGCTCAGTGCAGGAGGTGGCGCAGAGTGAAGATGAGCCGTGGGAGAGCTGCTGGGTTGGTGACAGATGCAGGAAACAGTCCCAGTGACAGTCCCACCAGCTCAGCCCAGCGTCCCCTAGCTTTAGCGAACTGGGAGGAGACGCTCAGGTGTGTGCTGTAGCGGGGGAGGGAGTCTCAAACTCACCACCACCCCTGGCTGCTCGCCCTGAGATTCACACTTCCGGCAGAACCAGGGTTCCGTTGGCACCTGACGATGCCATAGCAAGCTGGGGTTGGTGGAGAAGAATTGCCAAGTTCTGGTTTTTCCCAGAGCAACTGGGGAAGAGAACTCAAGGGTTGGTGTGGGCTATATATGCACCCTCTCTGTCTGGAGTCACTCACTCAGGACAGCAGGACCACAAGGAATGCCCCACAGCACACACGGCCAGCTCAACCACACAACCAAACACTCTGGCAGGGTGAGAAGTCTGGAGCCCTTGACCTTAAATCCTAGAATTCCCTACCCCATGTTTTCTTGGACCTTCAACTCTGCTCAAAGAGTCTCATCATCAGGAATAGAGGAAACCAGAGGACAACATTTAAGGAACAGTCAAACACAATTTTGTTATGGGAGGGGGGGGGCATTTTAAAGGGCCAGTAAGAGAAGAGGTGGGGAAGTAGGGGGGTCCAGGGACCTCATCTTTAAGCCTCCTGTAACTGCACAGGTACAGGTCAAAGGCAAGGCCAAGGGCAGGTGCAGGTAACCACAGGAGAGTGGTGGGAAGAGCGGGCAGCGATAGCATTAAGGGCTGTCCTGGAGTGGGGGCAGCTGCTGTGCCAGACAAGCCGGAGATGCCAGCCTGCGCCCTCGGCAAGACTCCCTTGCTACACCCTCCCGAACCATGCTGCTGGGGAAACCTCAGCCTCCCTTCTCTTCCCGGCCCCTGCACAACCTGCTCCTATCCGCAGCTCTTCCCGGAGGATTTTAGGAGTCCCTTCTCTCCCCTGGGACCCTTCTCCTTCCCCACCTGCCCACCTCCCAGTATCCGGAGCGGGAGGGGGGATGACTTCTTGACCTTCCTCCAAGCTGGACCAAAATAACCGGGCGGAGGACACCTCCGTAAACATTCCCCCAGCAAGTTCTGGACACTGGCGGTGTGGGGCGCCGAGAGTGCACTACTGCTCCCCTAGTCTGTCCCCTTTTTTTTCAAACCTCCCCTCAACTGGGGTGGGGGCGGACTGGAACAATAGGCAAGTAAAAATACGCCTCGATCCGGTCCTCCAGGACCGGGCGGGGGAGCCCCCTGACGCCCCTTCCCCTCAGGTGGTGGGTGAGGGGCGCCTGGAGCAGGAGGTCCCCGGAGGGCGCGCGGCCGAAGCCCTGCTCGCGCTGCCCCTGTCCTGCTGCCCCCCGCGGGCCACCCCCTCAAGGCCTCCAGGACAGCCACGCTGCATGTGCCCATCACAGTAGACCAGCGGCTCGGCCCAGCCCCTTCCGTCCGGAACATACGCAGCAGCCTCCCACCATCTCCATATCTCACATGAGCTCCTCCGGGCTGGGGCGGGGGCCGGCTTATGGGGTCGGGGGTCAGGGGAGGGAGGAGCAAGGCCGCGCGCCTCCCTCGCTCTTCCTCCTCCTCCTCCCTCCGCTGCTGCTTTTTTCTTTTGTTCTCCTTCCTCCTCCCGAGTGTCCTCCTCCTTCCTCCTCCTTCCTTGTTTTGCTCTGTCTGGCTGCCCCTGCTGTGTTTCTCTGCCCTTTCTCGCCTGCCCTGACGGCCCCCCCCCTGCACGAACATCAACACGATCTGCGCGCTGGAGCCTGTCTCTTCTCCGCGCTGGCAGGCGTCTGGCTACTGGCTGCCTGGTCATGACAGCCCGTCTGGCGGGGAGGTGCTGAGGAGACATCAGGATCTGCCCGTCTCTGCGCCCGCCCCTCTCTATGCTTGCCTCCTTGCTCACGCGCTGCCCCTGGTCTCTGTCTGGTTGTCAGGAAGACGGGAGCTTGGCAAGGCCTCCGCTCTGCTCACCTCCTGGTCTGCCTGCCGTCTGGGTTGCAAAGTCTTAGGTCTAGGAAGGGCTTTGGTTTGGTAGAGCTTTTTCGCTCGCTCAGTCGCCTCGCCACCCGCGCGTATTTTCCTCTCTTCTTCTTTTCAGGCTGTCGGCTGTTGCGCCTGGAGCTCTCCCCAGCCTGCTGTTCTTGCGTCTCGGGCCGGGGTCCCGATCTCCGATATACCCCTCCGTCTGTTCGTCTCTTCTGAACCCCGAGGAACTCGTGGAGATCGGAGGAAGGGGCGCTAGAAGGAACAGGAGCTACGTGGGCCGCTTGCCCTTCCGTGTTTGGGGTGCTCTTTTGGTGGCTGTTCGTGGGCTCTTTCCTGGAGGCCCTCTGAGGGTAGACACTTTCACACACAGACGTTTACATTACAATAAATATTTATTGAATGTTTACTGTGTGCAGCCGCTGGGACAGAGCAGGAAACAACATACAAACAGGTATAGATTCCCCTGATGCCCTCTGAGCCTGATCCAGCTTATAGGACTCTCAGGCGCGCGCGCACAGGGACTCAGACCCTTAGAGGCGCGTCACCGAGGCACCTACGGACACACAAACTCACCTCAGCTCCTCATCCAGCCACACACCACCGGACTCTCCCAGAGCTAATAATACACAAAACTCAGGTCCCCGCAGGCACGCTTATAGACCCAATGCCAGTTGCAAAGACCCACGACTACGGAAGTGCCTGTAAAACAGCACAGTTACATTTGACCTCTAGGCACACAATACACACCAGCACACAACATAAACTCACACACAGCACCCCAAAAGGATCAAAGCCTGAAATTAAGAAGAAGTGAGGCGTCAGCCCGATGGCTTTATCCTTAACACCGGAGTGGACCAGGGGGACGCAATCTTGATCCCCCCCCTTCCTTAATTTCTAAAGTGGGGGACGGACGCCCTCAGGAACTCAAAGGTCACGCTCCCTCCGCGGGAGGTTGGGTGGGCGGAGGGGAGAAGGTGTCCGGGAGGGCTTCAGCGACACTTCAAAGACCTTGTACTGGGAACGTCGGGGAGGGGTGACGGAGGAGAGGAGAAGAGCGGCAGGGGTACTGGAGGGTGGAGGTTGCCCCCCTCTTCCGCGCACTGCCCCCCTGGCCGACTCTTCCGCCGGGACCGCCTCCTTTTCACCCGCACTCAACCGAACAGGCCAGACTGTTGCCACCCCTCCTCGCGTTCTAGGCACCTTTCATCCGGGAAGCTGGGGGGAATCGCCCAGGACTGGGGGGGGGGAGTAGGACGGGGGAGAACTTGTCCTTGACCTGGTCTTTGGCGTCAGGGATTTACTCCCTAATCCCAGCGACACTGGCGTTTGGGGAGGTCGGGGAAGCTGAGCCCTGGGCTGCAGCCCTCCACCTCCCTCACTCCGGCGAGGACCCAAGAATCCCGGAGGGCTGCCAGGACGTAGAAGCTCTAAACGGGCGCGGCGGGGAGGAGGCCCGTCTCTGCTGCTTCCGTGCCTGGGGGAGGGGGCCGAGAGCTAGGGGTTGTCGGGGCCGGCGGGAGGACCCGGATTCCTGCGAGGACCGGGATCCCTGCGAGGAGTGCCAAAAGCCGGTATCCTGGTCCGCTTTGTGAACTTCGCTCATACGAAAAGTTAAGAAAAAGACGAGAAGTCTCACTTAGGAGTTTCTAACGAATTACTTTTACTGACAAGAATAAAACTTGAAGAAAATTAAACGCAAAAATGTCAGCCCTAGCCATGCACCATTTTCGGAATATTTGAATATTTGCTTTCGGGACCAACCGCGGCCGAAGTTTCGGGTTTCGCCGGACGAGGGTCACTCGAAGGCCCATCGGTCCCTGCATCCAGGGGCGGGCGACGTGGGGACTGGGGCGGAGGAGGCTTTGTCTTTGGGTCTCATCCCGTGCGGGTGCAGCGCCCGAAGAGTGTGTGGTGAACGCGAGATACTTGGGCACTTAGTAAGTGTATTAGGAACACGGTTTCGTTTAATCCTCCCCACAACTCTTGGGGGTGGGTGTTAATATCTTATTTTAAAATAGATTAGTTTTGGTTCCGGCGGATAAGTGACTTGCCCAAAGTCACACAGCCTGAAAGCGGCAGAGCGGGGACTTGAACCCGATCTGTCCTCTGGTAGGGCTGGGGGTCCGCCACCACGTGTAGGTCGAATGCCTGTGTTTAACTGAGATGTCCGCCCAGCGCAAGTGTTCCCTTCCGAGGTCACTGGGGAAACCCGGTGCCCCGAGGGTTGGGCTGGATTAGTGGCGGGTGTTCCCATGGCTGAGCTGTAAAGCTCGTTACCGGTCTTCCAATATTTTCCTGAGAACCTACTGTGTGCTTACACACACCACGAGCAAGAACAAGACTCAGCCAACAAGTGGTTCAAGTTCGTCGTGCTCTCTTCGGTGTAACTGAGCACTGATTTGGGATGTCACGCTGATCCTGGCTGTGCAATTTTTCGCGAGTGACTTGACCTCTCAGGCTCAGCTTGTTCCTCTTGAAATGGGACGTTAACTCCCTCTGGCAAGCGCTGCAGTGAAGATCTAACGAAAATCCTTTTGGAAAGCGCTGAGGCACACAGTAGGCGCTCAATCCCTGCTCCGCCCGCCCCTCTAAGCTTGCCAGGGCAGCAGCGTGTTCCCGCTCCCGCTTCCCGCCTCCGGCATCCTCGCCCGACTCGCGCGTCCCGCGGCTGAGGGACTGGGGCAGAGAGGACCAAACAGAAAATTATTTCCGCCCGCTCGGCCCGCCCCGCCCCGCCCCGCCCCGCCCGTCCCCGGAGCCAGAAGGGGATTGTGGGGCCGCCGCGGCCGCCGCCGGAGCCGAGCGGGGCGGAAGCGCGCGTAGCGCTGCTGCTCGGGCCCGACCGCGCCGGCCCCCGCACCTCCCAGCCCGGGACTTCGGGCTGTGGTCGGGGCGGTCCCGGGGTCCGAGGCGGCTGCCGCCGCGCGCGTTTCCACGAAGCCTGTCTCTCTGGTTCCCAGAACCGAGCGGGGGAGGCTGAAGAGTGTCGAGGTTTCGCTTCTGCCTAGCCGGCCGGGCGCTTGGTTTCGCGCGTCCCGGGGACTGGGGGCGCGCCCTCCCCGTTAGAAAGCCCCGGGCTCCGGGAAAGAACTGCGCCGGCGCCCGCGGGTTTGCGTTTCGTTTGCGTCTCGCTTTTCCCTCCCGAAAGCAAAGCTTCTGACCTTGGGGCGTTCAGAGAGGTTAAGTTACTTTCTCTAGGTAACCCAGTAAGAGGCTTCAGGTGGTTTCCTGCTGGGTGGGAAAGCCTGTACGTGGCCGAACAGAAAGAGGAGCGCTAGCGTCAGAAAGACGTGGGTTCAAGACCCAGCCTAGCCACTTACTGGCTTTGACCATCGGCTAGTATTGCGTTATCTGCGACCCTCAGTTCCCCCATCTCAGAGTGTGGACGCTAGTACCAGCCCCAGGGTTGATGTGAACAGTGACATTGTCAAGTCCCCGGCACAGGGAAGGGTGATTTCCCAGTCAAAGGTTATGACTCTGCGGTGATCTCTCCAGTAGGCCTGGCTGGGGTGCGAGGGCGGGTGTACAGGTTCTTTCCTAAGTCAGACCTCCTGTGCAAGAGGGAAAGAGGATTGATTTAAAGAGGAACTGGTGGGAGCGAGGGGATTCCCCAGGCATTAGGCGGCCAGTCGTCATGATTATTGTAAATAGTGACTCTGCATGGGTGGGATTTTTGACTTTTCAGATCTTTGTACGGGAACAGCACAGTACTTAGTGTCAAATCCTGCCTCTGCCATTAGCTAGCAGGGTGACACAGAGTCTCAGAACCAAAGTTTGCCAATCTGGAAGATGGGGACAATTGGATGCCCTCTTCCAATCGTCGGGGCTTTGGCAACTCCAGCCCGCCCAGGTCCCAGCAGGTGCTTTAAGAGCTTCGAGTGAGCCCAGGTAGTCCCTCGGATCACATTAGAGCATGGGGGACTTCCTTTAGGGATGGAAGATGGATAGGAAAGGAAGAGGTTCGTGGAGTGAAGTAGCCATCTGCCCCAAGTTTCCCCAGAGCTACCTGGAATCTAGTTCCAGCCCTGCCCCTAGCCGGCTGTGACCTTGGCCAAAGCACTTGCCCTCTCTGGCATTTGGTTGGGTGACCAGATCTTGAAAATCTCCTTGGAGTTAACATTTTGTGGTTGATGACTTTGCTCTTGGGAAGTTTCCAGACTGAGAGATGCCAGATGAATAGCGTATTTGCCCTGCTGTGTTCCCCTTTCCACCAGTTCCTCCTGAAGTCTCCTCTCCATTCTTCCTGTTCTAGTTGCTGTCACGACAGAAGTTGAAAAAGTTGTATTATTCAGTCTTTTAGCAAATACTTCATTGAATCATCATGGATGGGCCCTCGGAGAGACACAGCACCCAGGGTGGTGGGACTGACAGACCTATAGAGAAATAACTTCAAGGATATAAGAGCCATGCTAGTGTTCAGGACAGTGGTGACACGGGCAGAAAGAAAGTAACTGTGTTCATGGAGTCAGAGAAAGTCTCAGCTGGGACCAAG